GGTGAAATGGGCAGACGCCTTGGCACAAGGTTGCATGAGCATCAGCTCGCAACAACCGCGAGGATAAGCTGTCATGGGTTTATAACCATGTAAAGCAGAAGAAACACACATTAGCCTTTGAAAAAGCAAGGATAATAGGCCGAGCCAACGAAAAGATGGCCAGACTGCTGCTAGCAAGTTGGTTCTCGACTAGCACACAAAACAGAGCCATGGACCTTCATCCAGCCTACCAAGCGCTCCTCAAAAGGCTAACATCAGCTCAGAACGGAGCAATAGGTCGGTCGGAGAGGGATAAGCAGGGCCGACAGCCGGCAGCCACGAGCAAAGAGGGTAGAAACGCTCACGTGACACAAAATCGAGTTGACAAGGCTCAAGAAGACGCTCGGGAGGACGCGAGCAATTTAAAAAGCCACGAAAATCTATCAGTGCAATCAACTGACATATGGGCATTAGAAAAAACTACTGGTCGGACACATCCATCTGACGCGAACGGGAATACAGACACAACGCTCTGACGATGGAAGCGATCGAACTTTTGAAAGGTCAGCCAGAATACACTTTGGTCCTAGAAATCGCTTCTTCATCTTCTTTCTCTTCCGGGGATGATGAAAGGAACACTGATTCCTCCTCCATATTAAAGGGATTGTTTAACATCGAATATTGACAGTCGATTGTAAGCCGCGCAGCTATCGTAACACTTGACAGTTCTATGAACGATGAGTAAATTAATGAACATCATCTGTTATAAACTTTTCGCAATCACCGGAGGCAATTCGATAAATCTGACTTGATTGTTTGCCGAGGAAAATGTAAACTTGTTCGTAGCCGACTACCTTATCATGAGATATGCTGAAGCATTCTGCGGACAGATGGGGAGTTTTGACGTTCTGAAGTAAAATTTGGCAAGTTATTGCGACCGACAGACGTTTTATATTGTTGTTCTACATTTTTGTCAAAGCTTCCTACTTTCAGCTTATAATCATTTTGTATTTTTTTCTTCATTGAACCACGAAAGAGAGTATTTTCGTAGTCGGAGGGAAAATTCCGCAGCACGAGGGCTCAACTTTAGTTGACGAGCTTCTGGTAGGCGAACAGCTCTGGCGTGAACAGGCACCCCTCAGCGGTCGACGCCGAGATCATGCAGCCGCAGTTATTAAGGTTGATGACGCCGCACAACAGGAAGGTGACGAGAAATTATTAATTGGCGTTTTTGGTGGATGCTTTAAAGAAGGGGACACCTGGACATATCTCGCCTCATGTGAAGTGTATGAAGTTAGTCAAAATAGGTGAGAACACTTCTGAGGCTTATTAGTTATTTTTGCAAAAGTAACTGTTCCCCTCTCTATGCCAGTATTACATCTTCCTCTCTTGTCATCAACAGATGGCACAAATTGCCCAATCTGCGACAGATGAGGAGCGGTCCAGCTGCTGCGAGCCTGCCCGGTGCCAATCGTGTCTTCGTTTTCGGTGGTCGGGATGACACCCACGTATATTCTTCCGTTGAGTTTTGTTATCTGCGTGCCAACTGGGAGTAAAAGGTGGCCTCTGCCAGCACTGCCGAATTTTGGTTGCCAGCTGCACCCATGCGAACTTACCGGGCATGGCACGCAGCAGTACCGTTTAGAGGAAAAATACTGGTCGCCGGTGGCTCAAGTAGCGACATTTTAAATACTGTGGAGTTGTTTTCGCCTCCAAACGCCAGCTGCCCGCACGGCCAGTGGACGGAACTCGCTGGTATGAAGCAGCCACGACAGTATTTCACTCTTGTCAGTTCCAGCAATGCGGTATTTGCCTTAGGTAATGATGCCTACCCTTTTTTCTGCATTAATATGCCATTAGATGCATTCTTTTGAAGGCAATGTAGGTAAAAAGATAACATTATCTGTATTTGCAAATCCTTCGGCATAACCTGCGATAGCTTTTCATGCATAGTGTAAATTGTGGCCGGAAGTAGTCGCTCCATTGTGAATATTTCGCAATCTTCTGACATTACCTCTTTTACTAAAATTTTATCAATAGACCTCTATTATGCAGTATTTAAAACATGCAGGTCAATGGGAAACACCATCGAACACAATTGAGACTTTTACTGCCCCGGAAGGTTCCACTGATTTCGGCAACGACTTGACTTCATGGATTTGGTCGCCGAAGAACCCAGTGGAATCACTCGATCGGATTGTCGCAGCTGCCAACATTCACGTTTAGACCTGTGCGGTATTGTGCCCTACAATTAAAGACTTGCAACTAAGGCATCTTGTCTTCTTTAAAACTGCGAAATTCCTTTTTCGATTTTGTAATTTTTAAATGGCTGAAGTGCGAGTAGTGCCGAAATCCTTGTTTTTTTATGGGCAACAGTAGTTTAAATAATGCAGAGCATATACCCCTAGTCCTAGCCTTTGTCCTACGAAAACGGGGATTGTAGGAGTTTAAAGGGTAGGAAATTAGGATAGGCAGTGGAGTATGCTTGAATAACTGCAATAAGCATTTTTATTTTATTGTATTTAGACATTTTGTTGATATAAATCTATTAATTTTTCTAATCCGTATTATTGCAGAAAAAACGAGGGTAACAAAATGCACGTTTTTTGGGTTTCCTGAAAAAATTATGACTCATTGTTAGGGGATCATCTATTTGAGCTTACCTAAGGTCCAACTTATCGTTCTGAAGTTAGATTAGTATAGTCTGCGGCGGTCTTATTCAAGTTACACGCGGAAGAACTTACCCCCAGCGGTCACAAGAAAAAAATTCAATTAAATTTTTCAACTGTGTGCTTGCATCTAATCATTGCCTATCCTATTTTTCCACGCACAAAACTCCTATAACAATCGTCTCTGTAGGACAAAATGCTGGGACTAGAGGTATATTAGTTGCGATACTTAAACTACTTTTGCTGTCTCATGCGCAGTCGACTATGTGGACCAATCAAGGTTTACCAAGCGGAGGCCCTTCGGTTGCATAATTCATAAAATTAGCGAAATCGCTTGGATTTATATTTGTATGATTAAACAATGTCTAAATTGGGTCATATTAAGTTATTGGAAACACGGATGTTTTAGAACTAGAGATGGTTGCAAAGCTTACATTCCAGAAGGTAGTTGAAGAATAGACCTGTGCCCATTATCAAAAAGAATCTGTTGGATATCTGTTACGATCTATAACTGCATCCAGCGTAAATTGAAGGCTATTATCTTCGAGATGTACAGTATGCGTAGGATGTAATCACTCTTTGAGAGCATACACAACACATTGATAGGTAGCAATTGCATGACAGGGATTTCTCGTTCATAATTCCTATTTGATCGGTGGCGTTATTAACGTTTAGTTTAATAGGTGGCACAGATTCGGAAAGGCGACTTTGTTGGGCTGCAAAGCTCCTAATTGGTATTTAGCTCTAGTCGCACAGAAAATAAAAACTTTTGGGTGACGGTGAAGTTCCCTTCTAGACCTGATTAAACGATTTTGTCCAGCAATATAGCAATTCCTGTACGAACTGTGAAACAGTGCCTGCAGAATTTTGAACAGAACGTTAGCTATGGTTACTGCTGGGGTCGCCTTCAACCCCAGAAGTATACCGGTCCTGTCCGAGGTTCAAAATTAATCTGCAGTTATCAAGGGGTTTGGAATCAGGGTGTACTCTTATCTGTAATTAATTTATAAATTTTTCGAATCATTCTTCTTCTTTAGCTGAACATGCAAAAATGGACGCTTTTGCAATAATAACCCGAAAAAATTTAACGCCCGAACTTCGTTAGCATGTTTCTTCCTCAGTACCATCAGGTCGGTCAGTGAAAAGGTACATATCAATCTCTGTAATATTCCTATGTCGTCAGAATACCACTTGAAAAACGTGCCAAGACTACTTCAGAATAAAATTTTACTTCATTCGGCCGTCTATTTTAGCGTACTGCAATTTTATTAATGCGTTTTCATGTCAGATGCCCATGGGATTTCCAATTTATCAATCTTGGCTTCCGTCTAACGAGATATGAGCGTTCGGTTTCAGTTCCACACTCCAGGCCGGAGGTCCACATTTACCTACAGTGGAGTTGTGATTTCTGTTTCTACCTATCATAGTATGATAATTAGCTAGCTTAGAAGATTATCTATCTTCCCCTGCAAATATCAGTTTTGAAGTCAAGTTGGCAAACATATGTTTTCAGCAAATCATCATCAGGCCAGTTTTGGTTTTCGTGATCGTAGTTTATTCGCAATTACTGAACGGCATCTTTGCAGATAGGAGGAATTATCTTGCGTTTTTCCTGACGACAACATGAAGGCGAAATATCGAAATTCTATCTAATGAAAAAACGGCAACGAATGCCATCACAACAAAAACACGTACAAACGCGCACTTTAAACTTGGATCCATACTGTAATTAAGGTTGCTTGAAGAACGTTATAATGCTACCACCTAAATAATGGTAGCATGCGATTAACTTTTCGTTTATCTTCCGGAGCTTTGCACTGTAATTTGCATTTGCATGTCGGCAATTGGGCCTACCCAGAAGAGTTTTGTCTCGAAAAATTTCTTCCTGTTCACACATTCATGACAGTTAGCACACAAGGGACACAGGAGACCAAACCATCTCGCAACTAAATTATACAGCCGCACAGAAAAATGAAGACCTGTGTTTGAATTTTGAATCATGTATCCGCGCTGAGAATATGATGAATCAGTTAAGAATA